ATCTTAAAGATGGACCAGACAGGTAGTTACACCATCCTTATCAATCCATCTCTTTGTATTTAAGGGGGATAATGATGTCTTGTTCATTCTTAATCCATATATCCTGTGATTGACACTTCTTAAAGTGTTCATCTTGTGTTTGAATGTTCTACCATTGAATAATGCTTCTTTATACTGTTCGTGTTTGATATGCTTTTTTACCACATACTTCTTAACGCCCTTAGCTTTTCTTATCTCTCCATTATCGGACTTGTTTATAGAATATATCTTAGGTCTTAATCCGACATACTCCGCAATAGGAGTCCCAGTACATTCACCCTTCATCTTACCTAACACCTTTTTATTTACTACGCTGTGCAGTGGATTATCTTTTGGGAAATCGCTCTTGTCATACATATCTATTTACACATCCTCGGTTTGTATTTCCATAAAAAAAGAATCTGTGTCAGTATATAACACCTCGCATCTATCGCCGTATTACTTCTTAAGTTCGTTGGTAATAACAGTCATACATTTTGTGTTTGGACAAGTCAAGAATACTCATACCAACGTACACCAGTCTGTTGAATTTTATATTACTTTTCTGCATATGTAAATATCAAATATCTTGCTTCTGTTATAAGCCAGACTGGCTATAAGTTTCCTGAGTCTTTCTTCCTCATTAGTTCTGACTAATTAAACATCAACACGCTTCCTAAGATTCTCCATAGTTTTACCAAATACTAAATTATTCATGAGCTTATATAGGTTCTTTTCGTAATCGCTGGTAGCCATCTTTCTTAAATCTGTGTTCAGCCTTATATAGGGTTCCATCCAAGAGCTTTGATCAAACTTTAGAACTCTGTGTATTTTTTTTACTTTTATACCTAACGATAGATATAACTGAAGATTTCTGGAGTGAACTGTATATTTTGTCTTATCCATCAAATTTGGTACGAGTTTTTCTGCGTTAGCTAACCTAGTATTACCCATCAAGGAGTGTTGATATTCCGACATCCAATCTTTATTAACCATTAATCTTTCTGGAGTTAGCGGATAATTGTTATGTTCTTTGTGTAACGAATTTGGATATTCCAAGTCAAGTTCTAGTATGTACCCTTTATTCACATCAACCTTGTGAATATCATTCACATCAATATCATTCACATCAACCCACTCAAAACCACCCGTGGGTAAAGGTTGACTCATAGCCCATCCATACAGATTGTTGGCGTCAAGATATAATATGTGTGTATCGGGTTTACTCGGATCATATCCTTCCACTAATTTATTATTAGCCTTAGAATACCTTTTCGCAGCCATTGATATACCACCTCTAAATCATTTCTCAACAAACAAGTGCATATCGTAATCGGTGAGTAGTTTTAGTTCTACGCCGGTCTTCTTCAACAATGCATCCCACGATAGTCCAGGACTGGAAAAGTACCATGTTGGGTCCAAGCCGTATTGTTTTAAACATGTCTTTCTAAATATCTCGAATATATCGGCGAGTAACAGTCAATCGGTAGATCGTGATAATCACCTAAATTCTTACAACCTAATTTATCCCAGACCGTCAGAGCGTGTTCATAATAGACAATGGTTATTTTAGATTCTGTTAAGTTACTATAGAATGATTCAAGGGGTGGTAATTTAGTTTCGTTGAATCTAGACCAATCATCCATATATGGACACCTTTTCTCAACAACAAATGACAAGTTAACTGATCGGTATATTGATTTGTTATTGCAAAGTCATCGGGATTGTTCTCATTAGCTAAATTGTCCAGGGAAGATAACAGAAACTGTACTGAGTCTATGAATCTAAGCCCATTACTTTGCTTTATTCTGGCTTTCCCATCCTTGTCCGTATAATGTATAGTTTTAGTCAATGAGAATGAGATGTATTTTTCCATATTATTAGGAATGCACGTTAAGCCACCGTCGGTCTTTGAGATGGTTTGCATGATGAGATGAGAATCATATCCTCTAAGGTTGTGAAACACAACAGGGATGGGTATTGTTTGAGAATTCATTTTTAGTTTCAAGTTACTCTCGTTATGAGCGGCTCCCCGATAATTACCGGTGACGTGGCAATGTTCTCTTACAGAATCCCCATTCAGGGGTTTATTACAAACATGACAACTCATTGACTTCTTTTAGGCCCTCCAATCATTCTTTGTCACACACATGGGTTTCTTACACGATCAATTTTCCCTGATTATTCTCTCTTCATTTTGTAGATATTCTAGGAATTTCCCGCTGTATCAGGACCTCTGTAAATCACGGGCGGGTTTGTTTTCACATCATACCTTACACCTATATATCCAAACCCATGAGGAATATGTTTTTGAGTTTTGTACTATCTTGATTGTTTCAGTAGGTATTTTCTATAGGTTTCATAAGTGCTTCGAAGTCAGCGTAAATTATATACGGTACTGGCATTTGATTACAATAATGCTCAAATTTTAATTTGCCTCTTGGCATATCAATCCTGATAGCAGTCTATCAAACACCTCTGCAGTCTTCTTTATGCGCTTCTTATAGATCTTGTCTGCTGTACCCATGCAGGCATCTTTCGCAGAAATATTTCTTTCCTGCATGTTTTGTTTGATCGTATAATAGCCTGTTTAAACTCTTTATCCATGTATAATGATATTTACCATCTTTTTGGATCAGAAATGAATTGATTGTGGGAATATGTTCTGGGGCAGAGCTTATCCTGTGTACAACAATTCCTTTAGAAGAATGTCCGAAAACATTTATAGCTAAGTTATTTTGCTTTTCCGCCTCATCAATTTGCGAGATTGGTGTAGGTTCGTCTATACCATCAAGGTTAAGTCCGTCGTTTTGGGGATAGCTAGAAGGTCTATTTGCAAGTTTAGAATCTGCAGGGAACAAAGCAGATCTTATCATTCTTCTGAAACAGTCATCACCTTTATTTTGTACATTAATTATAGCTTTTTTCTTTTTTATAATATGAGGGTAAATCTATATAAGATCCACCTTTGAAAGGCATACAATTTGCTATATCTAAATATAAACTATCAATTTTATCCACACCCCAACCCGAACCTCTTTTAGTGCAACGTTCTAAAGTTTCTTGTATCCCCTGAATTAATGTTACGATGGGCGTAACAACATCAACATCCATGTTGGAATTAATGTCCATATCCAAGTCCAGACAGACGCCACCCAACACAGTTGTTTAAGCTGAAGTACTTGACCCAGCGCTAATAAGCTTTGCTATTTGGTGTGTGATTGGATTAATGTAAGGTTGGATTAAGGTGAGGATTCTCCTGTAAACGTGACAGAGGACATTTTGTTTAGATATAAATCCACTGATGCTTAAGAGGAGGGGGTGTCGCATTCATATTGAGTCGCATTTTTGGCCAGCGGTCGCATTCTTTTGGAGACGAATTAATTTCACGTTTTACAGTATTTACCAACGCCGGCTGTGGGTACAAATTTTAATTCAACGGATTGATTATTTTTATCAACATCGCCAACTGATTTATTATCTAGTAAATCAATCAATTCAGCTTTTCTCAATCGAGAATATCCACGTAGACCACGTTGTTTTGCCAAAGCTTTCAGCTCTCTGACAACATGAGTCATTGTGATATATAACTACATGTGAACTCATTTCTTATTGGTTTGAATTCTACCCAATCTATTTATCCCATTTCGGTAAGCCTTTTTTCTCTCATAAATAATTTGAAACTGTTTCTTGTCATAACCGTGACTCTTACATAAACAGTAACTACCTTTGACCCCAATCCCACATACAGAACAAGTATAATTAATATGCCCTTTTCTAATTGCAATGGAATGGATACCATAAAAATCTGCAATACAGCTTTTTCCACAATTTTGTAATTGGCCCATGCATATGAATTTACATCTTGATGTGCCTCTCGCCATTGTGATAAATATACACTTCTAGTATCATGTGTCTAAATGTGTGTCGTCAGCCGCGTCCTGCCCAGCCTTATATGAGCAGTCAGCCAGTCAGGGTTATTAATAGCTGATAAGACTCACCCTGACATAGTGTGTTGACAGGTCATGGCTTATGCATAATAACATAGCTAAATATAGACACACCAGTCAATCTCAACATTATAAATTTTATCTCTCAGTCTTTCTGAGCCTCTGACAGTGTATAAAACTGACTTATTGTTGGCCTCGGTATTGGGTCAAGTTTCTTTCTTTAAACAAGGAAGTATTCGTGCTAGCAGATTCAACATCCTTAAACGTTTGAATTGAATGCCCTTGTTTACGCAGTTCATCATTGATAAAATCTAATCTTAATATCCTATTTTGGGTCCATTGTGACTGGGCTGTTTCGAGTTGTTCTAATGCTTTATTATGTTGTTTACGCTCCTCTTCAACTTCTTTGGTGTTTGATTCCCTCAGAGTAAATAATAAATAATTACTACCCGAAAAAGCAAGAGCATTAACAATAGCTCCACCGACCATCATCGCAATTGATGCCATAATGTTTTGAACTCTGTTCAATAATACTATGTTTATAAAATATTCAAATGTTTAATTACTTCATTATGTCTTCTGGGATAAGCCCTTGTTTGATGAGTATATCTTTGTTGCCATTGCCAATCCAATATCAAGAATCATCATACCGATATCATAACCATTAAAATCTAGCTTGGGTGGTGTGGCTTTAGTAATCATTTTAGCTATACAGGCATAGCCAATGGCCAAGCCAGTGACCATCGCTGAATGATACGTTGCGTTTACCAGCATTTTACCGTCTGTAACTGGAGTAGTCATGCTTTATAACATTACATGAGGGCTTAACTCTAATTGAACTTGTGATGCAATCACTTGTTGTTATTGTGCAATCGCTGGTGACGTTTTCTCTTCTCGGGTCTTAGAAAACAATATCGTTGCTATAGCAACAACCCCTAAGTACATAGGGAGCCCAAGTTTTAATGGGACGACTATGTTCAATATTTGAATTGTGTATTAGTTTTGCCTACCTCGCTAGCGCACCCTTCCTACCAGCTGCAACTTTTCGAGGATTCTTAGTCACTCTGGGTTGTTGTTGTGCAATCGCTGGTATTTCCTCGTTCACTTGTTGTGATTGTGCAATCGCTTGTGTTTCCTCGTTCACTTGTGGTGCAATCGCTTGTGATGCAATCAGGGTTTGTATTTCCGTCTCCATTATTAGTAAGTGGGCACGTATGTTTAAATTGACAATACCTAGCCGTTATTAAAGCGGTGGTCACCGGCGCTAAGAACATTACGTATTTATGATAAAACTCACAGCTTACTGCGCTTATAGCGGGTATGATGAATGAGTCTTTCTCGAGAGATTCGCATAAATATGGGCAATGTTCTGCCGGGATAGGAAGAAACATACTAGCTACGACTGTGTTTAGTTGTAACAACCGAGCCTATTGTTTTAGTCATGGTAACTCCCAGTCTAGACTCGTATCGCGTGTACAGTTTTTTAATTTCTTCATCGGTCATGGTATCAATTTTTCAGTGGTATAATTTTCACCCAAATATTGGGAACATTTTCCACCGGCTACCAAAGTAGCAAGTCTTTCTCTATGTTTATCTAAAGATTTATCTGTAACTACTTCTGCATGTTGATCAGGTTCTTTGAGCATTTGTTAGATAAGTTTGTCGCATTCCATAATGTAATACCTAAGGAGATATTTAAGTTGAACATAATAAAATATTACATATCCAATACAGCCCGAAATAATAAACTGTTGTAAAAGAATGAGGATTTCAAACCACATTATTACATAATAACCGCTCTAATGTTCAACTTATCGTATTTTTGCTATTTTTGCTATTTTTGCTATCATTGCTAAATTCTGCTCAGCAGTTGCTATATTTTGGCTAAATTTTGCTATATCTTCGCTCAGCAGTTGATAAATTTTGCTAAGCAGTTGCTACATTTGCTAAGCAAGTGCTAAAAGTGCTCAGCAATTGCATAAGCAGCTGGTTGATCGTTTTTTAATATGAGTTTACAGTGCTTCATTTCTGCTAACAGTTTTCTGACTTTATCTCGTTCGAGCTTGGTATAAATAACATCATTTTCGCGTAGACATTCCTCAAATGAATCACGGTCTTTGCATTGAAACAAGGCTACCCATTTGGTCTGCTCTCTGAGATCTTTCAGTACAGAGTTGTATTTATGAGTAAGTACCCAAAAGCTATGCTGAGCTATGTATTTCGGAGCATGCTAAATATGAAAGCATATCTTTCTTTTTGGTAAGTTTTTTAACTCGCACTGCAGTCGTCTATAATGAAAAGGGTGAATTCACCTTTGTATTTTTTGTGACATACTCGTAAACAGTCTTGTAAACAATCGCCCGGATCAACTCTCTGCACCCCAGGATCATTCATTACCCAATCTCTCGATAGGTATGTTTTATTAACGTTTATAGTCGGACACAGAATAATAATATGGCCGAAAACATTTTTTTCAAGATATCTAGAATAAAAGCTGTTTTTCCACAACCCGTTTGCCCGCAGATGATAGCGCAGTGCGGTTCTTTAGGTAAAAGATTATTAATAGATCCCTTGCATGAATCTTCCATTCTGTATATTAAGTTGCGCGTCCATAATCATGTACAAATATATGTTTAATTTACCAGCCGCTTCGAAGAGCTTTGTTATCTGTATAGTAACACCCTCACTGGCATTTTCTATTCTCCGCCCACTGCCGTGTAGTTGGTCATCATCTGTGGTTCGCTTGTTGAGCCATAGCGCTTACTTCATGGTAAGGAATTCAGCCATCGATACATCCCCGAGAGACAGATCTTTCACAACCGTGTCAACTTCTGGGCTTTGTTTTATAGAAGGGAGTTTTTTAATCTCATCCCACTGTTGATATCCTCACATGCCTTGACTATATAGTTTATTAGGCACACCCTCGATAGTCAATTCTACTTTTGTAATCTTGGGATTGTAGAACTTCTCGGTATCTCCTGCAAATGCTTCAGAAAGGTCCTTGAACAACATTTAAATAACCCTTTAACGATCTCGCTTGGATGTTTAGATTGATATTCCACATCATATCTCTTTTGTTCCTTGTGATCTTTAAGTGTCACAGCACGCGGTCGTACAAAATGGCTAAACTTCCGGTATACTGGTTATGAATTTGTCTGGCTAATTCAGGATCTGTTATGATATCATACTCAATAGTATATTGTCAATAGAATAGCTACATGTACCATCTTCAGTAGCTTTGATTACTCTGCTGTAGTCGTATGAGTTCGTATTCTAACCTATCGCCTTGGGATGCTTGATAAAAGGGGCATGTAACTATCTAGTAATTCAAAGTCTAGCGGAATATAGAATCGGTTAACTAATGCATCAGCAACAGCCTTATCTCCTACGACAGTATTATCGCCATTATCAGCACCCACACGCAGTCTCAATGTGTTCTGATTACAAATACCTTGGTATTGTAAGTTTTCCCGTTCTTTAGCCGTTCTCCAGAGATCCATGTAACAGAAGTATACATCTCTATCGTCAATACTCAAAACCTCATTACCACTAATTTTAATTGCGATTTTCTTAAAAATCGCATGACCTATCACTGCAAACACGAAAACGTCGTTTTTTTCCATATATGGTCATTGGACGGAAAAACGACTAAAAATTCATTAAAATTGATTAATTGGTCAGCGTCTAGAAAGTGTCCAGAAAAGGGTCGAGTTTTTCAAGCGTAAAATGGACGGAAAAACGATGCTTTTTGCTCCGCCTTGTACAACTGTTAACGGCCAATCAGATGGCGCTGGTCCCCCGACGCACGTGATGTCCAAGGCTTCCTTTCGAAAGCTTTAGGTTTCGTATTTCTGGCATGCCTTGCTCTAGTATCTGTCGCGCGCAGTGCAGCGAGATTTGCTGATAAGCTAGTTTTAGGATATGTAACATGTTAGTGGAATTCAGACACGCGCCAAGAAGTCAAACCAAAAAATGTTACTAAGTTTATTGTGGTAACGGCTATGCACAGTTACCCCTATCGGATAATGGGTTGTGTTTCATTTGGTTATAACAATAACTAATATTTTAATGTGAAGTTTACAAGATATACGACTTGGACGCGAGGTCGGTCACATGACGTTCTTCACGTGACTGTATTCTTGAAAAAGGCGTAAACACTGACTACTTCCACATTCCTGGGGAAAACCCTTGGAATTCCCTGGTACGAATTCATACAGAAGTGTGGTTACAACCCCATTTAAGGATACCCTCGCTACAACCCATCCCAGTGGGAAAAAACACGAAAAAAAAATCCAAACTGTCGCATTGACAATTTACTGAAATCTTTGAATTTACCTTAGTATCAATTTGACACATCTTCACAATCACCTTTCAGTGATCGGCCAATTGATCAGTGATGCCAACGGCTTGAAATAGCCACAGGTTAATTAACAACTTCGAAAATATCTCCCGTCACGTTTATCGTGTCGGCCATTTTGACGTATTGTACTTGATGTAAATGTATTACGATGCTCTGTCATTGTAATTGACTTACTGAGGTAATTCTGTAAAAGATCTTCTCACCTAATGAGGATATTGTTTGGAATATATTTCTTGTAAACATACTAAAACATATGTTCCTCGCTTTGGGGGAACTATTTTATTCCGGGGTGGCCCATTAAATCTAGTAGTAGGTCAAGGCACCATGCGTGATCTGTTATTCTTTGTGTTTAAATTACGATTTGGGGCGTTAATAAAATACACTGACGCAAGTATATTCTATTCAAATCAATTGGATAATTGAATATGCTTTCTTTTACATATTACATAACATCACTGCACAAAATATGAACAGTTGCAGTAACACACTACGGTAATCGCATTAAACATCATTTTCAACTGTACAGTATTTCAGTATTTCAGTTATATCATGGTGTATCAGACTGATGTGGGATACAAATCCGAAGTGGTTCAGGTCATCCAATGGGTGTTCGGGAAAAGGTGAGCGTATCCTGCCACACAAGTGGCACCCGTCACAAACACATGCAAGGACAAGTCAATTGTTCACCTGAACAAAGCACGGAAACACACAATGATGCCCATCCTCACTTTTACCGAGCATGTAAATTATTTTGTCCGTCAAAAACATGGACGAGTATAAACAATATGTTCATTCACGTAATACATGTCATACATTTGACAAAATGTATTGACTCGGAGTATTTTTGTTAATCACAGCGTATGCAGTTGAACTCGTCACCCATCCCATTATTGATAACCCTTCTTGAAGATCTATGAAATCAGAAGCTGCAACACTCTATCTTTTAACTGGCTTGTGAGACTTCTATTTCATTACTCAGTTTTATTTGCACGGATTACTATGGAAGGGACATTGTCGCATTGACGCCCTTTCAAAAACAAGCAAAACGTGTCAAAATTAACAAAAGCGCGACAATTGGCCATTTGTGGCATTGTCGCGTGTTCGCATTGTCGCTCTTTGATAATCCTTTTCTTTATTTTACAAAAGGGCGACGATGCCGTAACGCGATCTTTTCAAGGTCAAAATATGTCTCGTTGTCGCCCCATAACAAATGTGTATAAAGTTCAGTTATTGTTACAGTTAGGAAGTTCAACCTGATAAATGTACGTCTTGAAATGAAAACGCAAGTCCGTCCGCGAGTGCATAACGTTTTATTGTGAGCACTTCTCTAAAAGTGCTTAGTGTTCAACTCCCAGTTCCAAACACGTAGTACCTCCTCAATAATCCACATACCTCCAGTGCAGTGGTCTTCCGGAAGATCCTACTCTTGACCGTATTAGACAACTGACGAGTGCACGCCTGACCTGTGACCTCGTTGCAACCCTCGTGATGTGTTTGCCGAAGGGAGAGGTGTAGGAAATGTGTGCTCCAGTCCAGCGCAGAGCTCGCGACACACTGTGTACTGAATGTTGTATACAGTATATTGCAGTTGATATACTGTATACTGCATGTGATACTTATTTGGGGAAATGTTACAACTTTCAAGATTCAAGATTCAATTTGCATATATTTCATATACAACAGACCGCCGTCATATATCACTGGAATACTGCTGAGAGCGGCGTTAAAACAAATTGTTTTCATAATGGAGCGCTGCAGTCATTTAAAATAGAACCGTATACACATGTACATGTAGTACCAACTCACTCTATTTGTTTCGAATATTCAGCAGAAAA